TAAGCACGATCCGCACAGGTCGATCGGCGAATAGACCGTTAAGGGCGCACACAGACACACACAGAGAGAGAGAGAGAGAGAGAGAGAGAGAGAGAGAGAGAGAGAGAGAGAGAGAGAGAGAGAGTTGGAATGAAACATTAGAGAAAAAAGAGGGAGAAATAAAAATTAAAAAAACAAGAAATGGCGAGATCCAGCGATGGAGGAGAGAAAGGAGGAGAGAGGGATAAGGGGTGGCGAGAGCGATGGGGGAGGGAGGAGGGAGGGAGGGAGGGAGGGAGGAAATGGTGCGGGAGAGGAAGGTGAGGAGAGGGAAGGGAGAGGGAGGGAGGGAGGGAGGGAGGGAGGGAAAGGAGGGTAGAGGAGGGAGGAGGGAGAGAGAAAGACCCAGAGGGGGAGAGAGAAAGTGTGTTGGGGGAAGAGGAGATGCTTTCTCTCTCCCTCTCTGGCGGAACAGACTCTGGCAAAATTAAACAAAAAGAAAAAAGAAAAAATGAAGGCAAAGTGAAGAAGATGAAGGGCGCGATGAGACGAGAAGAGAGGAAGAAACGATGGAGAGAAAACATAATAAAATTAAAAAGAAATATAGAAAAAGAAATTAGAGTGAGGACATAAGAAACCAATGGAAGTCAAAAAAAAAAGAAAACGTTGGCAAAATGAGCGCGTACGCAAACTATCTCTATCTTATACGTATCTGACCGCATTTACGGCCAAACCTGGATGTATCTGACCGCAATTACGTCCAGAAAAAAAACAAGTAAACAGTCCTAGTGATCGAATATGCACTTAGACGGGACAGAGAGAAGCGCAAAAAAAAAAAAAAAAAAACGAGGAGCAAAAAACAAATACAGAATAAAAGGAACAACGAGAGAGAGAGAGAGAGAAAATGACAAAAGACAATTTTTTTTTGTTTTTTTCATTGACAAAAAATAATTTAATTTTCGACAAGAGCAAAAAGGCAGAATGCGAAGCTGCTGGCGTCCGTCCATCTACCGGGTAAGGAAAAAAAAAAAAAAAAAAAAAAAAAAAACTAATCTTAAATTTCTTAATTGTGAATTTTGAATTTTCCTTTCCCTTTCTCTTTTTAATCATCAAGGGCCCAGACTAAGCGCATATGCTGACCCGGAAAAAAAAAAAAAAAAAAAAAAAAACACTAATCTCAATTGAATTTTTTGAAACACCACAATATATAGATTTACCATTTTTGTATATACTAATTATCTATTGTCATTCTATATATATATCGTCACAAACAGAACTGCCCGGTAAACCGTAGGCAGAGAGAGAGAAGAGCACAACAAACGAGGGGCTGTGACAAACTGTTTCGTCGGAGTTTCACCTTACATATATGAGTCAGGTCATTTTCGACGTGAATGAATTTTTGCGAGCATTGTCGAATCATACTTTATTCTGGATTATTGACCGACTCTCGTGTGACACCTGTCGGGACAGAGACGCGGTGCGCCTTGGCTGTGGAATGCATCATCTATGCCATAGCCATTATCAATCTATTGCGACTGCCGCCGTCTGTTCTGAAGGGTGTCCAACATTTCCTCATTGTACACATCCCTATCACCC